AAGGGTCGCCACAGTTTCACTGGCAATGGCAATGATCTTCAGCAGCAGCTTGAAGACTTTTGCAAGCAAGAGCAAGCTGAGTCCTCCTCAGACTCCTGCATCTGCCCAGAATCATGTGAGTCTTCCACTTCCTCTTCATCCAGCGATTCCGAGTCCTGCAGCAGCCTTTCTCTTGCCGAGGAACCACTTTTGACTGCAGAGGCCGCTGAAGAAGAGAAGGAGGTCGCATCAGTCTTGAAAAGCCACAAAACTTTGCAGTGTTTGCAAAAGGGTGGGCATTTGGATTCTGACGTGGCTGCTGAACAGGCTTTGCCATCAGGCAGCTCCAAGGATGTGGCAGCAGCAGCAAACAAAGCACGTGCTGCAACCTTTTGTAACAAAAGCATTGGAGTTGTTGACGTTGGGTTGCAGGTGGCTTCAAAACTTGCAACATGCAAACAGTGCTCAGGCAAGGTTGGAAAGGGCACGGTACGGTGGGCCTATGCTTTCAGCCGGTCGAAATTTCACAGTTGGATCCATGATGAGTGCATTGTTGAGCACCTACGGAAGCAGAAAGCAAATCTTGATCAAGTCCGCAGCTTTCTGAAAGAAGAGAGACAAAAGGATCATCCTGACCTGATTATGAAAGCAGTAAAGAAACTGCAGCAAGACTTGTCTTAGATTCTCTGGGTTGAGTCTTGAGACTTTGCTTTGCACCTTCCACGTTCCAAGATGCCTCTGCACAGCAGGGAAAAGGGCAATCTGCGCAGATTGAATTTGTTCAATTTTGCCAGGGTCAAGTCAGGCTGTCAACACATTGCGGGGCTAGGCTATATGACAAGTAGATCATGGAGAGAGAGAGAGAGCGAGCTCTAGATTTCACAGGAAATCTCTAAATGCAATCTGCAAATATATAACAACATAGGATATGCAGTTGCAATTTGCCAGGCAATGAGACACGAGACAGTGGTATATAAATGACATTTCAAAGGAAACTTGTTGTGAGACAAGACGCATTGACACATTTATGTTTTGACTTCCACTGACAAATTGCATGGTGATGACCCGGTGACACGTGACATATGCAAAATGGACAAGTACCCCTCTGCCAGACTCCTCTTGACTTCTTCCTGCACGGAGAGTACGATGGCGAGATCTACGGGTTGAATGTGCCAGAGCAGCATGGCTAAAAGTCCAAGGGTGTTGCAAGTTCTTTGTGTTTCCTGCTCTTGTTGTGCTCACAGGATCACAACCTCAGACTGAAAATTATCTGTGTGAAAGCAGCCACCCTCTTGTGCTTCAAAGAAACTTTGAAAGCTGTGCATGTGCACGAGTCAGGCTTTTTGAAGCTGAATTAAACTAAAGTCCAAAGACACATAATTTTTGCTGTCCTGTCCTCCAAGCACTATACCAGCCTGGATCCAATCATTTCACAAAGTATGATCTAATATTGGTTGGACAGTTATGCAGTGTGTTCTTCATAGCGCTACTTTATCAATGCTTTGCGCTGCTATGTGTCCATGCTGTATGTCCATGTGTTTCCTAAGGAATGGGTATACTACATACCACATTCAGAGCCTCACACTGAAGATTTTCAGCAGCAAACATATCATGATTGAAGTCAAAGAATCAGAGTGAAAGCAACTGTGATGTGGCAATGGCAATTGCTCGGGGAGGTATTTCTATGCAACTGTCAAGAATAATTACAGTAGCAGTCACACCCATTAAACATATGCTGCCTCAGGTCCAAAGACTATGGTTGCCCCCAGGCCCGTCACAGGTGTTACCTGCTGGGCGTCAGAAAAGACATATTTGATCAAGGGCGCTTTGACCAAATGGTCACATTCATCAAGGAGCTTTGCCCAAAGGTGCATGCTCGAATGTCTATTAGCGACTGCTGCTTGACTCAACACGCCACGTGTGATGTAAGCATTGATGAAGTGTGAAGTGTGAATGTGGTTTTTGCTTCCAGGAATATGAACACGGATCAAGTTAGAGAAAAAAAATACAGTGAGCTCATAGGGTCTCTCATGCAATTTATGGCAGGTATCCGAATTTGCTTTCACTTCAACTTTGGAAATCAGTTCCACTGACAAATGAATATTAAATATTAGAATTGGATTATTAGATATTATGATTTTAAAATATTCTACTCTACTATATGATTATGCTGCATATGATGTGACTCAATCGTGACTTGCTTCAATTCAAATTGTCATCTTAGGCTGGGAGCATTGTGAGGATTTGCTGTGCACATCTCTTCTTCCGAGAAAAGCCAAGGCCGGTCTCTAAAGGAGTATTGGCCGACCAACAAGAAACGTGAGTCTACTACATTGTTTCCTACATGGTTTCCTACATGAGTTCCTCCATGAAACTACCCCCACCGAACGGTTCAACTCGGTTCATGAACGGTTCAGAGGACAGAGCTTACGTAAGTGATACTAAGTAGTAGATGAGTAGATGTGCTGCTGATTCTTCTCTGTGTATCCATTCGCTCTCTCCCCAACCCTTTGGCACAGGATGCCAATGGCAGAAAAAAGGCTCACGTCCAGCAGAAGATTGAGACTATGCAAAAGGCTTTGGGAATCTCACCAGGCAGGGTAGTTAGGCAGTATTGTGAGGTGGGTCCAAGTGGCATCTGACATCACTTGAGACTTAGCAGGTGAGGGATATTGCTCCAAGAAGCCCACGTATGCAGCAGCACCTTTGAACCAGCGCGAGATGGACAAACTCGACATTGAGGCTGGCTACTTGAAAGCATCTTGGACCTATGGAGCAGACTGGCATCAACCCCCATGAAAAGTCATCACTTCTTAACGAAATTTATTTGTTGTCTGATGCATATGTTTTGGTTCCAAATTCCCTTCTGGTGCTTAGTTGCTATTGTTGTGTTTGATAGTGATTAGTGGTGCTTTGAGATGAATAGATCTAGAATCTATACTTTGCTGGCTAAAGCAAGTCATCTTATTCTTCGTCATAGCAACACTTAAGGACACATACTTACTATTTGTTGTGCTGTGTACTTTAAAACTAGATAGTTAAAACAATAACAAAAAGACTACTTGTTATGTTGTGACTATGTTAAACCATCAAACTCAAGGCAATAACATGAGAAAAACATGAACCGAGTTGAACCGTTCACCTCGGGGGTCCTACATGCAAACTTCACCGAGTTGAACCGTTCACTGAGGGAAGCATGAAAAGTTTACACAGTTCATGAACCGAGTTGAACCGAGTTGAACCGTTCGGTGTCTTTCAACAAATTTACGTGCAAACTTCACCGAGTTGAACCGTTCACCTCGGGGCCTCTACATGCAAACTTCACCGAGTTGAACCGTTCATTTTGCTCTCTATGTATGCTTAAACATAGGATATATGATATGATGATGGGATGCTAAAGAACTATGGAACTATGGGCTTGTAGTAATTAAGAGCTTTGTTGGTTTAGACGTTAACCATTATCAGATCAGTATCATTATGTTATTATGTTATATTACTGTTTCATATGAAGCAATATCAACTATTATTGATCTTATGTTCAGTATACAACAATTATATCATAGCACCAGCAGTACTCAGTACTCGAAGTGTGCATTTGTACGTTGTGCCGGGCGTGTATGTTACTCAAGTATCTTGCCACACACACACATCGAAGCAAAACAGAATTAAAAGCTACTGGACTAAAGTAACAAAGCTGTCAACTTGTTGGTTCATTTTCATGTTCTCAGGTAACCCTTTGGCTGACAGTAGCCATATGCAACAATCTGACATTTTTTGCCCTTTGCTGGCAAACAAACTGAACTTGAATAGTCTCATTGGTTGCAAATGCTCTACAACCAACCAGCTATACTTCTCACATACCCTAATCCTATGATTGCTATGTTTTCTAAACGTGCAAAGACCTTCCAGCAAGTCTTTGAATGAAGATGGAAGGTGCATCTCTTGACCAGCTTTCAGAGTCATGTGTAGCATTGTAGCATCTAGTCCAATTTGATCGAACTGTGCATATCATACATTTCGTATCACATTCCATGTCCTATTTTGCAGACTCTTGCATATGACTATGACTGCAGTCATTTGCTTTGTGTGCTGGATAACAAATGCCACACAAGGATGCCCAAGTTGAATGCACCCTCATGTCCTGACCCTCATGTATTGTAGTTGAATGATTGTGTTATAATATAGATATGTTGACACATGTAACGCTCAGCTCAACTCACTCAACTCAGCATTCAAGATTTTGTCAATTGCCCTTGCGTTTCAACCCCAATCTCTTTAGTAGAATTGAATGGACTCACTAACACTGAATTGGTAATTTAGGTGATTGTGCAGTACAATGAGCTGTGAGGAGTGCTTGCCTGTATGCTTTCAAACAGTTTGTACCATGACTGACCATTTGTTTGTTTTAATAGCATGTTTGTCCAGTCCAGCTGAGTTGCGTGGGCGCGACCCGGAATTGGCATTCGTGGACGTGGCACGCAATTTTGTCACATCAGAGTCATCAGAGCTAACAAATCATGCCTCCAAAGTAACCTACTTTTGATACAGTCCACAAGAATGAGTCAGGTTGGATCATATTGGTAGGTAGAGCCGGTAGAGCTGCCAGATTCAGTGAAATTCAGAGCGTGTTGTTTTGAGGTTGACAATGATGTAGGAATAGGAACTTGCAGGTTTAAACTCTTGGCTTGGTTTGTGTGTCTTGAGTCTTGAGTCTCTGTATATTTGTAGGTTGACCTGGCTTTGATGTTCAGAACTGGATCCCAAGGTAGTGCCACCCACTCTATGGGTGTGTATTGGAAAGGATTCGGACCAGCATTCTCTACACAGATGAAATTATGGTCGATCCGCGAAGAACAGTTTGTTCCGGCGGAGGCGCGACTGTACGTTCACGATTCAGACATGTTGAAATGCAGGTTGTTTTGGGGCAGTAGTAAATTGATACTTGGCCTTCTGCTGCTATGGGCTATGAGGTTTGGGAACAAATAGCAAACTGCTTTTCGTGCCTTGGTTCAGTGTCTCTCATGGCGGATGGGAATGCTCACAGTCATACTGGTCCTGATGCCTGCAAACAATGTGAGCAAGAGTTTGGGGCTGTTGACAAGGACGCTTGGTTGTATGTGGTCGGACGTGAGGAGTAAGTTACACTAGTCGTGGAACTCAGGGCTGGACTTCGGTTGAGGATTTGTGAATGGACAGCACAGCTGATAAAACTTGGAATAGTTGAATAGTCTTTGAATGCATATGCTGAAACTTGTTCAATTTGTGATGTTGGTTCGTAGTTAGCGCGTGAATCAGGACTGACAGGACGAAACAACAGCTTGTGCTACTGCTACAGTTGTAACACATAGCTCATAGCAAACACTACGACTATGACTGTAGACTGTGCTTGTTGCATTCCAGGCACATTTTCTAGCTCTGTCAATTTGTCAATGTTGATCAACATTGGCAGCATAGTGGCATGTGCCTTACCCACCTGAATGGTCACTTTTTGCATGACGAAGGGCCTATAGGGAAATATAGGGGCTTAGATCCTCAGGATTGCCCAGAGGGCTTTGACGTGAAGGTGATCCAGTCCCGGCCTGGCTCTGCCATTTGTCGGCCTTGCTTCTACTCTTTACGGGGCAGCTTTCCAAACACGAAGCCTGCTGAAGTGAAGGCAGCGACTGAAGAACACCCTCAGGTCAAAGAGAAGCTACTGGTTCAAAACTGGTAGTTTTTTGGATGCTTGTTGGGAGGGAGTCATATTATTGTTGTAAATCGGTATCAGAATCATAAGTCATAACTATAAACTATTACTTTTCATTTTGTGAGGACTTTTGCATTTTCGTCTTTGATCAAGCTGAGGGTGGGATCTTTGCGGCGTGAAAAAGTTGTGGAGTCCTGCCTGTTCCCCCAGCGCAAGCCCAAGCGCCAGAGATTCGATCTGTCAGACTTGGTGAAAAAAGCGGAGCAGGAGTATGTAGACTTCCAAGAGGCCAGTGTGTATGTGTGTTGTTGGTCATGTCACTTTCGTTCGTTTCAGTTTGCCTGGACATGACCTACAGAGTGACTTCACATGACTTAACCATACTGAGTGGACAAAGGGTTGAAGATCAAGACGTTGCGCCGTGCCACATAAAGCTCAGCAGGTCTCAGAGTTGGTGGATCTCAAGACCTTCACCGATGACCCCAAGAACAATCCTGATGGGCAAAAGTTCCGCAACGTCTCAGAGAGGCGCAAGTTTGTTCGTGAGAAGCTTGGCCTGAAGCTGGTGCGTGATCCTCGCACCGGGGCCGAATGTGTGCCCGTGCATGACAAAACATTGATGCTAACCGGCCTCAAGAAGACCATAACACGAGAACGGCAAGAGACGCATGACGATCGTGCTTCTGCCAAAGAGTCCTTTGCTAAGCAGCGTGACGACTACAAAGTCCAAACCAACAAGGTTGTTCCTTGACTTAATCTTATTGTTATTGTTTCTGTTTATTCATTTGTCTGAAACACAAGAAAGAAAAGCATGGCGTGAAGTGGAACTAAAGGCAGTGTAGGCTCCTATAGTAGGGTCGGGTCCGTTACTACCATGAATACCTTACCTGCTGCATATTTTCGTTATTGAGGAAGACATCCAGAAAGCTGTAGCTGCTGCTGGTGGAAGTGACGAGTCAAGTTCGTCAAGCAGTGATGCTTCCTTAGATTCGAGCTCTGCTTGTGGCATTCAATCTGATGACGAGGCGGTTCAAGGCAAAAGGAAAAAGCACCCAGAGGGTGTCCCATCCCAATGTCCAAAGCGCCAAAAGGAAGAGGCCCAGGCGGCCCTGGAGCAAGAGGAGAGGCCACCGCCTCCTCCACCACGAAGAGCGCGGGGCAAGGGCAAAGAAGAGAATGGTGACAAGGCTGCGAAAGCATCTGCAGCAGAAGCTAAAGCATTGCAGCGTTTGGATGGGCAGCTCACATCCTGCCAAAAAGCGTTGCAGGCCCTCACAGAAATCACACCAGATTCTTTGTGGCGGTCCCTGATCCGGGCAAACGAGTTAGACCGTCGGATGCAAAGAGCTACTTCAGCCAAGGGGGATCTTCTCAAGATACATGCCCATGGCCAAGCCTCAGACGAGCAAAAGGCCAAGGCGACACAGCTGGAAAAGGCCATCGAAGAAGCAGCGAAGACGACATCAGCTTTGAAGGAAGTAGCCAAATTGATCCGTGGTACGAGTGCTGTAGAGCTTGCACAGGTCATCCAGGCCGGTCGGACTTCCGAGCTCTTCCAGAACCTTGAGCTGTGTAAAAAACGCCTGCTGCTGGACTTCCCTGTTGTTGTGGACATGATCCAAACCATTGCCAAGAAGTTGGTTGACGTGGCCTCTGAGGGTGAGCACAAAGCTTCTAGCCTCTCCACTTGGCAAGACTTTACCCAACACACTCACTAACAGTCCAGCTTCACACAAAACACAGAATGCACTCAGTATTCACTTTCGGCAGCTTTCCAGGCTGGCATGGTTTTGGTGGTTGTCCCATCTTCCCTGGCACCACCTATGACCTATGAATCTTTTGTGGATTCGGCTTACAAATTGTGACCCAAGGTGAAGTTTGAGTGTACTGATGGTTCCACAGGTTCAGCCACCATTGTTTTTGTTCCAAGGTATTTAGAACACCGTAGTTGGGAATCCATCATTCCATCGTTATAAGTTATAATGCTCCAATTGGTGCACTGACTTCTGTGTGATCGTGAGGTCAATGATCACATCTTCTGGGAGTTTTTGCACCTGAACATCAGCGAGTCCAAATTTTTCCATATGGGCTGTTTTCTGGAGCTGTGCCCCGGAACAGATAAGCAGCATGCTGAACTTTGCAACCATCTTTTGAGAGCTCAAATTGCTGCAGCTGATGGCTTCTTTGAGAAGTTGCGGCCAACCTCCAGCATTTCTTGGGCAAAAAGCCACCTACCTGAGTTCCTCAGGATCGAGACTTATGAGGAGAAGAAGACCGAGATGGGTTGGTTCCTGAACTGTGAAGATAGTTAGTAGTTAGCTTTTGCACATGTCATTTCATGTCTCTTTTTGAGAGGTGGGAGGTTGCTTGTTATTCATGTTACATGTTTTTTCCCCGGCCCCTGACCCTGACCAGAATCTTAAGCATTTGTGATTGTTCTGGACTGGGCCCTCCTGTGCCCAGGTTGCCTACACCCCCGCCCAAGGGAGCTTTGACACATGATGACATTGAGAAGTATTCGGGGGATCTAGGCTTTGCTTCCCAAATCGTGATCGACCTCCAGCGCCTGTTCATGTGCCTTGAGATGCAGAAGGATTCCATCGATGAGTCCTGGGTGCTAATGGCTCACAAGATGGCAAAGTTGTTCTCTGGGAAAGTCGTTCTTCCAATGAGCTCGAACAGTGAATGGAGGATTGGACTTTCCGGTTTGTTTGTAGTTTGTTCCTAATGGCCCACAATTCATGAGTTCATGACCATCCAATGATATGTGTTTTGTTCTCTTGCTCTTGCTGTTTCAGAACTTCAAACAAACGGACTTAGATTGGATGATGGATGATTGATAGCTGATAGACAGATGAGAAAATAGTGTTTTTTACATGTTTGCTTTAAAAACAGCAGAACCTCATTTCTTGCTTGTGATCAAAAGCCATTTGCAACCTGAAGGAGCCTCTGGACCAAAGTCCTCACAATCGTGAAGACTGCTACGGAGCGCACCTCTATCTTCCAGAACGGTGAGTCATTGCTAGATAAGATCGCGGAGATTATCAAGATAGACTCTGAGGCTATCATGGCCAAGCCAGATGTCGTCCAGAAAACCATATCAGATGCACTGGAAAAGTTCATTGCAATTACCGATCAGTTGAAGCGTGGTGGGTCTGTTGACGAGAAGACCAAAGAGCTTCTTCAGAAGATGCAGTGTGGCAAGGATATGTTGATTCAATGGGCCAAAACCAACATCCTTGCGGATGAGGACTTCACCAAGGCCCTCGCAGATGTGATCACCCATGTTGCAGACTTCTGCCAGTTGCCTGAGGGCGAGCTTGATGAGCTGAGCATTCAGCAGGTTGCACCTGTCTACACGGGCAAAATGCCAACAATTCCAGAGAATATGACAAGCAGCAGGTTCTTGCTGCGATGCTGCTCAGCCTGTTGAACGTGCGAGTTTTGAGTTTTGAACGTGCAGGTCACAGGTTTCTGAGATTCCACGAACACAGGCAGGGGAACGAAACAGGCCCGTTGGCTGTGCTACATCCCAAAAACTATGTGTTATGCAAGTGGCGCCTGTCTCCTGTACTAACTGTTGTTTACATGTTACCGGTGCGTTCTTGAACATATAGTATAGTAATATAATATATATATATACAGTAGATGTAGGAGGTGGGCAGCTATTATAAAATCACTAGTGCAGTTCAGTTCTAAAAGATTATCAGCTGTCAGCTGTCAGATTGTGCTGAGCTCAGGCTTCCTTCATGGCAAGCTTCAAGAGAAAGATGGCCTTTCTCGACCATGCAGGGGGCTGATGAATTGGCACCGCCTGACTGCTGCTACTGCTACTTCAGGAGACAAGGATCAGGATGACAATGACATGGCCTTCAATTTTGACAGGCTTTCGAAGTGTCTCAAGTATGCACAGGACTGCATCTCATCTTGTGGAGACTTTTGCCCTCCCCTCACAACTTCCGAGCCCTCCAATGCAGAAAAGTCCATCACTGCAGTGGTCCAGATGCTTCGCAGAATGGAGAAGGTTTGTGTCTCTTACGCACTGCAGGGATTGGCTAGTGGCAAATTCCAGGGCAAGGACTACAACTACAAGGCTGTTCTCCCCGAGATGTTCCACCCAATTGCCCATGTGATGGAAACCAACTGGGCTGACGAAAAGGACAAGCTTGCCCATGCAAAGCTGGAGACCCTGATTGAAAAGCTTTCGACCTGCGAGTCAGCGCTTTCTTTTGGTACCTCTTCCTCGAAGATTGACCTCGGATCCACATTTGAGACCAAGATCCAGGAGTGCCATGATTTTGCTAGCCATTTCGCCAAGGCCTTGCAGGGATCTCTCAACGAGGAACAGTCAACATATTTGACACCGTTGTCTAGCTTCACTGAGAAGTACCAGATGGTGTCTTCCTGTGTCAGTGACTGGACCTTGAAAGAGATCGAGTGGGTCTTCTGCAAGGAGAATGAGAAGGAAGTGGGTTCCGATTTTGATACCTTGAAGGAATCCAGGAAACAGGCATTGGACTTTGTCACCTGTCTGAAGCCAATGATGGAATTTCAGTCTCAGTCGGAGGTGCTTAAGCCCATTGTGGCAGCCAGCCACAAGGCCAAAGATGCTGTTGAAGAGGCCGTGGATGCTGCTTCCAGGCTTGGCACTGTGATGATGTTTGCTGATGCTGTTGTCGATGGCGCAGAAGCAGCTAAGCCAGGCTTTGTAGACAAAACGGAAAAGTACACACAGAAGCACTTTGGCATGGGCAAAGACATCTTGCCAGACAAACTCAAAGAGATGGTCAACGCAGCAGTACTTGAGGCTAGCAAGAAGGAGAAGGAGAAGGGCAATGTGAAGGCTGCGAAGGACAAAAAGGAGAAGTCTGAGAAGTCAGAAAAGGGTAAGAGTAAGAGTAGTCACAAAGATGGCAAAGAAAAGCGAAAGTCTTCCAGAGCTGAGGACAATAGTTCCCGAAAGAAGGCCAAGAAATAGATTGGCTTGAGAGAGGCTTTTTGTAGGCTGCCAGCTGTAGATGAAGCTGGTGGACAATGATCATGCACGGTAGCCCTTGCCAGAGCTCCCACGTACACCAAGAAAGTATGTCAAAACGGTTGTTGTAGAGAAAACAGTTGGTTCATTGTTTGTGGTGGCCAGCTACCGGACCGTTTGCGGCTCATGTCTTGCAACACAAGATTGGCTAATTGTTGGGGCACTCAATTTGCCGAAGGATACACGGAGTCAAGACTGCTGTGAAAAAGGCACCATTGGGAGTAAGGTTTTTGCTGTGATGTTCTTGTGCTTTCTCCCCTGCAAATGCCGTTCATTCAGGTGATATTTGCTGGACAAGGATTTGATCCAGATGAATTCTCATTTGAGAACATCGACTACCGAACGCTGGTAAAGTTGGCTGGACACTTGGGCTTCATTGAGACAAATTGGAGCAGTAGGGGGTAGTTTTATAATTCTTGTCATTTACTTTTGACCAGAGTTTCAGAGGTTGGAGACACTGACAATATTCACAAACAGTAACAATCTCTCATTCATCCTCATCCAATTTCTGTGCTGTTTATCCTGTTCAATGATAGGGGCACAGTCCAGTGCCTGTGCGGAAGTGGAAAGCATTGGTTACAAACTGCAAGCAGTCGCACTTTTATTTGAGGAAACGCTATGTCTACATCTGTGGTGGGGAGCGTTATCACTGGACTTCTTGTGTACTTTCTTTCATCCTCAAAGGACGGGAGGTCACTTGGCAACGTGTCACGAAAAGGTTGCTACATAGAGTGGCGGGCACTGCGGTTATGTCACATGAGTCGACCACCAGTCATTGTTTCAAAAACACAACCTCTCCTACCTATTGCCTGGCTGAGGCCAATGAGTGGGATTTCTGCTAGTGACTCTGACAGCGACGTCAATCCGATGCCCAGACTTCATCAATCTCAAGCTTCATCTGAGGAGATAGAGTCTCCAGATGGCAGTTCCGAGTCCGAGACATTGATTTTGGGACAAGTCCGGCGCCGGTGATGTTTAATTCAGGGATTTGGAGAACAAACCTGCCACATAGCAGCGATAGGCTTTGGAATTCCAATCCATGGTGGCGCTATGTGGTGCTTGTCCAAATGTCCCACGTTCGCTCTCTTACTCTCCGGCTGCAGCGAAGTTTTTGTTGGGCAGCGTCGAACCAAGTTTGATGCTTACAAACAGAGTGATGCAAACTGCAAACCGTAAACGACATATGATGGCATACATCATACATACACATACCAAAAAGAACGGAATTGTGTGTGTGTACTACCGAACATAATCTAGTCTAGATGTATATATATATATATTGTTTTTTTGGAATAGTTTTCTACAGAGACCTTCAGAACATTCCTTGTGGTTACTTGCTGCCCTCAGAACAAATGGTTTGCCAGACCAGTCACCATTTTACCATGATATGATATGAAACCGGAGCAGTGAACCATTTGGACTACGAGCCCTGGTTGCGCTAGGGCCCGTGATTTTGGAGCGTTGTGCTAGCCAAGGTAAAAGAGAGAAATGAGGGAGGGAGGGTGTACAAGCTGTGAATGCTTGAAGTGAAGCACGGACAACTGCTGCAGTGCATTCAAACCCGTATAATTACATATATACGGATGACGTATCATTATATACCTGTCAGTGTGTGGCACTGTGACGATTTTGCCTCAAATGCCCCACTTTCCTAAGAGTGCGGCCCCTGTGTGAATGGCTGTGTGATCCGACCTGACCGAGCTGGCTTGGCTACCATGAACTGGCTTTTGATGTGGATGTGGTGGGGCTCACTTTGTTCAAGCCTCCCAACCTGTTTTGTTTCTGTGCAAGCTGTGTTGGTGGAGGCAAAGCCTACCAGCGTTACCAACACTGGCAGTAGCAGTGGTTTTGGTTCTATGGTGGAAGATCTTGCAGCCACCCTATTCAACACAGAGCTTTTGGTTCTCTTTCATATCTTCCTTATTTTAGTTGGAATGGTGATGTGGTTTGGCAAATCACGGCTGCAAAAAGGAAACACCAGGAACCCTGGGACGTTTTCCAACACAGTTCAAACAGGCAAAGGCCATGGAACTGAATACAAAGAGCTAGCCTTGCAGTTGCAACTCGCAGAGGAAGAGATCCAAGAGTTGAAGAAACAGCTGGAGAATGTCCAGCACAATCGAACGAGGACATGTTCGATATTCATTTGTGAGAAAGGAACGGTGTGGCATGCCAAGGCAAATTGCCGGGCTGCGCGTCACATGCAAGAGCGACGCCCCTGCAAATTTTGTGCTAAAGAATTGTTTGAACATTTGGCATGAGATCGCACCAGCACTCAGGCTAGTGACTTGGGACCTGGGACCGCTCGCTTCTATGAAAGAAAGAGAGGTTTTTGATTTTTTGTGCGGCAAATTTTGTCAAGCGTGAGTGACGACTATGAGACTAGAGAGACCACTTTCCCAAACATAGGTTAGGTTCCAACATGGACTCCAACATGGGTTCCAACATGGGGTACAAAGACCACTTACCCAAACATAGGCTCCAACATGGACTCCAACATGGGTTCCAACATGGGGTACAAAGACCACTTACCCAAACATAGGTTCCAATATGGACTCCAACATGGGTGCCCACATGAATGGACACACACACAGAGATAGAGGCCAGGATTCGGTATAAGGTATGTGGTATTATTTTCCAGATTGATTATATATATATATATAATATAGTATATTAGATTGAACGGTTTTTAACCGCGGATTTGGTAGAGGAGATGCTAGGAGAGGAGTTTTTGTGGATCCAACATGCTCTTTGAAGGATCCAACATGGTAGCATGCTCCGACTGTCGCTTTTTTGGCATAACCGCCGCAAAGCCACATCATCGGAGCTCAAAACAGGATCTATATGATTATGATCATATCCTTCTTGGGGATGCTAAAGCATGCTAAATTTGTTGGGAATCCATTTGGCTTGCGTTGCACCCTAGCTAGATTTCTTTCGCCCCACCACGACGCACGAGGTCCATCGACAACTCTACAGGGAGTGCAATGGCGACTATGCGCAAATCGCTGCCATGCACGGGGCCTTAGCAAGCAAACTGCTTGATCATAGTTATTCGGAGGGCCGATGTTGGAGCTTGAGGTTGTAGCTGTTATAGGATGTTCTAGGGTTCTGTTCTGTTGTCATTGCTGCTTTATTGTGGCTCATTTTTGTTGTGAGATCTATTGAGTAATGCTTTTCGTCGCTAAGAGGCTTCGAGTGGAGGGGAGTCGCTTGGTGCTGGACAGCCCGCTGGCGGCGGGTGGCTAGCTCAAGCTAGCACCCTGAGTGTGGGACTGAGTGCGCCACCAGAACTGGGCAGTGTCATCAAAATCCGGGGCACCGCAGATTTCCATCCAAGACTTCATACAGCTATCCCTGAGTGAGTTCGCTGCTACTTTTGGATTCCCATATGACTATGATACCGGCGGTAGTACCGGCGGAAAAGTTTGCTCAAAACATCTCCAGGTCAGCGAATTCAGAGCTGAGAGCGCAGCCTCGGTTTCTCATTTGTCTCACCGCCTTTACGCAATGAAAACGTATAGCAAAAGCCAAAAGCAGTCCTCTTTTGGGCGAGAACAGAGCACATCATCAGCGAACATGGGAAATTGGATGGAGTTGTTGTGCCATACTGTGCCCCAAGATGCCTCAAGATTGGAGGCTGGGATGTCCTGGTTGTAGTCACTAGTGGTTGCCTAGTCACTAGTGGATGCTGCAGACGTTCGAAGGCTCTGGCCATTTCCAGCCATGCGACGAAGCCCACGGCTGCTGACGCTTGGCCCGCTTGGCCTCATTGCACTGTGCCTAGTGGCACCCTGCTTCGTGGGCCTTGCCCCTCCACGCGTGGGCGGTGCACATGTGGGTGTTGCACTCGGGTGCAATGCCAGGACACCAGTGGTACGACAGGTGCAGGGGTTCGGACACGGTTGTTTTGTGTAGCAACATGTGACAACTTATTGAACACAAGTCTCATCTAACATACTGTAATTACAGTGTCTAAGATGGCAACTTGTTACTGTTATTGTTTGCTATTGGGCGTTCCCAGTTTTGTAGTATGTTGTGTGGTCATGCTCTTGAAACATTGTGTTTTCCCATGTCTTTTTCCCCAAACATCCAGTTCTTGCATAAGTGGATCCCGGGGACCCATGTGAGAAGCGAGAGGCGTTCTCTGCCGCAGCTCCAGCGATTCCACTGGTGGGAGCCGTGCTGGTCTTCTTCGGATTTCAGGCCTTGAACACGGAGGCGGCTTGGGACAAAGGTACCATGGACTTGGGATGGTGAATGTTGGGCGCGAAGGATGCTTAGATCATCCATATTTCAGTGTTCTTCAACAGAGCACTCTAGAGTCTACTTTAGAGTCTTTAGAGGCTTCATCTACCAGTAGTGTCCTGGGTATTTTAGTTGAAGATGACTGCAGGTAGTTGGAGAAAGGGGTTAGATTCAGACCACAACAAATCAATCAATAAACAGGCTCCCCTTTGGGGACTGATGAGCTGATGGGAGTCAGAACAGCTCAAGGAATCTAGAAGTGAAGATCCAAGATGGGTGATACATCCAGCATGCCAAAGGAAAAGATCTTCACACTCCCTGAAACAATCATGGAAGACCATTTTCCTCTACAAGGGGGTCCTGGTCAGCTTCCATGATTGTTGGAGGGAGGGTAAGCTTAAGATATAAGATCATTAAGGCCTGTGTGGGGAGGAGCATGCCGGAAGCTTCAGCATCTTCATGCGACCCCCAAGCAACACATTGACATGTCGACAAGAACGTCGAAAGCATGGGGCCCCCCTTGGGGGGGCCTGTTTGCAGGCCAGCGATGGTGCTTTGAAAGAGCTCTTGCAAAAATACACCAAGATCCAAATCATCAATGTGACCCCTGCTTGCTGGCGGCATTGCTGACATTTGTTTCAGTGTTGCTGGGGTATTTTGTTCAATATTGTTAGGATCTTCCAACGAAAGGTTGCCGGGCATAGGAATTCGTATAGGGGTTGGGTGGTCCCGATTTGGATCTTTTGGCTGCTCAGTTGGTCCATTCGCATTCCCCCAGCCAAGTGTTGTTACAAGCAATTGACGGGATCAATGTGTCTTCTACAAGTCAGACACGTTGATACGCGACTCGCTGGCGCAAGTGATAGTTGTGAAGGAATATGAGGTAGGACCCCACAACTCCTATGTCACTAGCCCAGCAAATTCTTATGTCATTAGCCCTCAGTATTGCTTGTAACTGCTTCTACATGTGCGCCTTTGGCACTGACTGAGCACCGTCCAGGACACCGATTTGAGCGATGTGGCAAGTGGTGTCACCCATCGTCCAGTGCTGCGAGGGAAAACAGCCAAGGACGTGCATTGGTATGCCTCTAGGCATCGGAAAAGGCCGAGCTGAGTGGAACAATTTTGTTTCAGCCAACGAGGCCCCTCTGCATGTGCCATGTGCCCATTTGAGTGGAACGGTTTGTGCTCAGAAAAGAGATTGAGATCCTGTCTCACATGTTGTTTGTTCTTCCAAGAGGGCCGCTGAAGTTTGCACGAGTTTGCAGAGAATCCCATGACATCCTATGGATTCATCCGGAGTGAAATTCAAGCAATAATATGCAAATTATAGGAAAACGATGGAACACTTAGACCTCCTATGGAGAGGCTTAGTTTGTTTCCTGAAATCCAAGGCTCGAAGTGAAAAGGAGCTGCCGCCGGTGAAGTGGTACATTCGACGCTTGCCAGGCGTGAGGCAACGGAACGACAACTTCACGGAGCAACGTGCTAACGGACACGTAACCGAGCATGTCCACGCTAAGTCTTAGTTGGTGACACCATGGCGCAGAAGCATCAGAGACTACACATTCCTTGCCTGCATTGGTGGTCATTCTCTTGCGGATGGTCGTGGAATGAAGGAGCAAAGTATTCTCGCTTTCGTTCTCAAGTGGTGGTGACGATCTGAGGTTGAACTCCTTAAGGTGTTAATCCACAAGTTCTACAGTGGAAGAAACGGGACCCCCAAGATCAAGAGCCGAGCCACTGCCAGGGAGGTTCTTCCATGTCCAAGAGATTGATCAACTTGTCTTAAGGAGATGAGTCTGTCCTTCGCCGCGTCTTGTTCGAGGGCGGCTTGGGACTGGGTGAGCCGCTTGCTGCGAAGCCAGCGCGCTGTTTCAGCGCGCACGCGCGCTGCGCGAGAGGGACCCGGTGGAGGCTTTGGTGTTTCCGAAAGAGATTCACCGGTGGACCAGGAGTGTGTTGCAGTTCATTCATGGCTGGGTTGTTTGTAAGGTCCTCAACCGTGCTGGGGGGACCCCTTCAACAGGCAGATGTGTGCAGGGCAGCTTGAAGGAAAGACGAGGGGGGGGCCGTGCCTGCGACCCAATCAATATCAATATCAGTACGACTTTCGTAACATATAGTCACTCTGTTACAAGCTATGACCATTTTATTCGACCATGCCCCTGCAGTGAAATACAGAGTGTGCACATACGGAGTGTAGTTACGCAAATCGACTGGTGGCTTGCGACATTACATGATATTACTCTAAACTAGCTTCATCTAGCTTCCAGTTAAAGTCGGATTGACTTGGTCAATCTCAGCAAAGGTTCATTGAACTGCTGCAAGTTTGCAGTTTCGGCTGTAGACACCACACACGCTCACACAAACCTTTGCGCGTCTGAACGTCTGCCGAGCGAGAACCGCGCGACTGCCGACGCCGACGGCGAGGTCGTACATGGATGGCCACTGGGACAGCGATGACGTGGAGCGCTTGGTCTACGAACTGCTTCGGATTGAAGATCAAACCAAGGAGTGAGCGGAGCGTGTCGTGAGCGGTTTTTCGAACCCGGAAGGTGAGATGGTGGGGATGTGGGTCGGAGTCCAAGAAAGTTTTGATGATTCAGGATGTTGCATCAGACAGTTCAAGCATTCATATCATTGTTGACATGTTCTGGCAGGACCCCGATTTGGAGGGTTGGAGGGTGTGAAGTTGATTTGCACTCCCACCGAGACAGCCACCATAAAGAGAATTGGATAGCACCGCACAACCTGCGAACATACTTTACAGGATAAGATTACGAATGGGATGCCCAAGAAACAGTAGACTCCTACAGTACTGTTCGTTTCCCCCTAAAACAACTGAAGAATATGCAAAAGATCAAAAAGCTTGGAAGACTATAGTATATAGACTATATAAACATACCATAAACCGCTATAGACCTATACGCATTTCTAAAGAATCCTATAGACTGTGTGTCTAGGACCTTTCAGACGACACCGGACCTACCCCGTCGGGCCTGGATGGTCCTGTGGTTTGACTCAAGGAGTTGGGCGCCAGAGAGCTTCCACTGATTGCGAATATCATTTTGGGAGCTCTCAGAGGCCTACAGCATGAGTAGCGCTCGGAGGAAAGACACATGAACATTTTGGGGCCCATGTGGGCTAGGCTGCTTTTGAGAAGAATGACTGACCCACAAGATTAGGTCCAGAAGAGAACATATTTTGTCTGATTGGTAGGATTTGCTGTTATGGTTCGATGACCTGGCAGCCATGTTTCGGGCTTGCGCTGGTCGGTCGGTTGAAGTCGCTTTTTGTTACAATATCATGCAGAATTGAGACAGAAACGCCTAGAGCATCCTAGAGGCTATTCCTCAATCTTGGAGGTCTTCGCTAGTAGGTTCGAGGCCATTGCTATTCAATTTGGAGGTCATTGCTTAAAGATGTGATATCTTAAAGGAAAGGGATCGACACCAAAAAGCGATGCGCGCAAGGCAAGCTTCTGGAGTTGCCGGGGAACACCGTGCAGGGCGCGCAGGAGAACATTGGCCGGACCTACGATGTGGCAGACCAGCAGCATAGAGACACCAGGGGGGCATGATTTTGGAAAATGGTGGATCACCAGTTCATGTGCAGCGCACCAACTGATATCTGATATACTTGTGGGTTGAGCTTTTCTGGCTGACGAGTACGCTGGCTGTCCGGGTTCGATGGAATTTTGCAGAGGGATTGGAGGCTGCACTGAATGGGGTGAAGGTGGGCAATGTTAAGGACACCATCAAGATCTACGAGCAGATGCTGGATAGCAACATGCAGCACCTTAGCAGCCTTAGCATCACCTAGACACACACTTGACAGTTCACCGCTACTTGGTATAGCGGTCATTACAGGCGCTGGAGGGATGTTTGAGTTTGCCCAACAGGGGACAGGCTCCAAATCTCCTCCGAGCTCCCAGTTCGTGATGTCTCTTTAGGCGGCAGACTCGAAGAAGCGCCATTCCGGCATCCGACACAGTTGAAATGAATCCTGAGGTATTCCGTGGGCTACTTCTACCAGCCGGACATGACCTTAGATGACGCCCAGCTGGCCAAGATGGAGCTCATTGGGAAGAAGTTGGCCTTGAAGCCAGGCAAAGTCGGTACGCACCTGGTTGAGAGTAGTGAGTAGTATTAGTTGATAATTGATACTGTAATTGGACACCACGTGGCTCCTGAAAATCGTGTAGAAGTGACCCAGTTGTGTATGGCATTGCTTTCAACCAAATCTTGATTGATCTCAAGCTCGTGGAACTAGGGGCTTGCCGGACTTTTTTGTTGATTTTTGGCTTGGGAGGCATGAAGCTTTTGGAAATTGGGTTCGGCTTTGGGAGCTTGGCGCATTTCTTGGCGACCAAGTATGATGTTCACATCACGGCAGCTTGGCACGCGTTTGGCGCTTGGCGACATCCGGATGGGACGATTTCTTGGGGGCATGATGTTGTGACAGTTTGCACCAATTTGCACCACATCATGCATTCAAGTCTCTTGAAATGCACTCTGCACTGGAGAACTGCACTGGTCTTAATGGACGTTGAAAGACCAAAAGCTTCAGCAAGCTCGCTTCAATTACTGTACCTCGGAGCAGGCGGTCATGCCTTACCCGTCACCTCATCCCTCAGTCATTCCTCGGAGAGCTATGCAGAGCTTAGGCAGTGACCCTGTCCAAGGCCCAAATGGAGTCTCGATTGGATCAGAACTCGCCAGGTGGATGGCGTTCGGTGGCGAAAGGGTTCCGGGTGGATGGTCCCACAGTGGTCCCACAGTTTTTCCGATGAGTTGCACAGTTCCTGGATGGGTTCAGGTGGCGAAGCTGCTTTCTTTGGCTCATTGCCTTGGAGAAGGGTCGAAAGAGTTGGCCTAAAAACGTCTTCAGCGGGCAAACAGACACCGGATCAGCGGGGTGGCTGTTCTTTCAGGGGCAACTTGGGGCGAAGTCATGTCGAAGCAGCCTGCTTTGGGGGGCGTTGCTTCTACCAGCCCAGTAGCTCCCCAGATGCGGTGGTTTTCGGCTTCTGTATGGCGCCCTATCCGTTCCAAAATCAGTTCTTCGCGTTCTTTTGCGGGTGCGGTGAGTCAGGAGTGGGCGAAGGAACACTATGGTCATCCAAACATTGACTTCCAGTATGCCGACTACCGCGATGCCCCAGAAGGTCAATACGACCGTGTTTACTCCGTGGGCATGTTCGAACACGTTGGCCGGAAGTCTTTCGCCACATACTTCGACAAAGTGCAGCTTGGATGGTACTGGTGTTGGTCGCATGGGGCAGAAAGTGAGAAGCACAAACTTGGCACAAGGCAAGGTGAAAAAGACCGCTGTTCATGTTGATGATTGACATGGGATGGACCTGGAGTGATGGGATGGACCTATCTCAAAGCCTTTGTGAAAGAATAAGTATTCTCATTGTGACACGCGACACGGCATCACTGTTGGGCCACTTCGCCAAATCTTTCCGGAAGACACTGGGAAAAACTTCAGCAAACAATCTTTGTTGCTTTGAAAATCGCGCTGATCAGGGTTCTTGGCGGCTTTAGCCAATCACAAGCACAACCGTCCACGGTCCAGAATTTCAGCACGTTTGTGGGATGGTTAGGCACGTTGGGCTGCCCAAGGTTGGAACTGAAGATTTGACAGAAAGAATCCTATAGTTCAATGAGTTCGATGTGTATTTCTCCCTATGTCTCCAGACTCAGGTATAACTGCTTAAAGGATGACGGCATTTTTTTGTTGCACACTCTGGGCTGGGCCAAGCGTGGCGAGTGGAATCACAATGCCTTTGCAACTCGGTGATGCGCAGCACATCGAAACAAAGTCTTTGTGAATGCATAACGAGTCTTTGCAAAGGGTTCTTGATGGGTTTACCGCTGGGTTTACCATGGTTTACCCATGCTTGTGTATGAATTCATCTCTCGAATAATGCCGGGGAGCAGGATGATTATGAGCCAGGATGGTGCCTTAATTTGACAGCAAATCTCCTCCTAGTCGAAGAGCTCATATGTTCTAGTCTAGTATTTCCTCATCTCGATCGACCAAGGTGGGAAAATACATTTTCCCGGGTGGGGAGCTCCCAACCCTGTACTTGTTGACCGAAGAGTTTTCGGACCAGTGGCATCTCGAGGAGCCGGAGGGTAGGATGGGCATCAAAGACACACGGGACGATCAAGTTCCGGTGATTTTCATGGGTCGTGTTCAGACTTGGATCACGTGAAATCACGTGAATGCGGAGCGTTGGAACACGGAGCCGAGCTTACTGGAGAAGGACCCCGGTACACCTCATCAAGACTAGGTGGCTTTTCAAGAGTGGCTTTTCAAGGCCACCTAGGCAGGTGGACAAAGACTTCATTTTCTTCATTCCGGCTGTGCAGCGCGCAGCCTGGTTTTCACACATCAATTCCATTGCGAGTCCAATACACATCATGCATTCGCTGATTGTGCCAATCCAATAGATGTTATGATTGCAGGGTAGAAGGCTTTTTGGTGGTTTCCTGTGCCAAGTTCGGACATCATTTTCTTGAGCAGTGGCAACTTTATGGTGCAGTAGTCAGCAACTGCTTGACAATTTGGTCTTTGCATCACCCTCGCGCCTCACCGCCAGGACTTCCAGAGTCTGGGGAAGTGCTACGCCACTCGGTCTTTCCGGAGTTTGGGTCGGGTGGTTGGGCTTGCCCGAAACCAGCGCCTTGGAATACGGCCAGGCTTAGAAAGTTCTTAGGTTTGAAATGATGCATGTGGAGGATTGGCCATCAAAATGACACCAACGAAGGGGAAGTAGTGCAGAGTAGAACAGTATACATGATCCACCGGTGGAAGGAAATCACACATTCTTGATGTTGACCTACCCATCAAAACATCCCTCCATGAAATCCATCCAACCATCCCTCAGATTGACCAAGGTCCAGACCCTTCGGAGCTGGCTGAACAACTTGAAGACCTGGGAGGGCATGGATGAGTTCGACACCAGGTTCAAACGGATGATGCTCAGATGAGGTTCAATTTGAGTTCTTTTATACTTTTCCCTTGGGACATTGACATCAGTTGACTTATATACTGTATATTGGCTTATAGATTATGAACTTATGGCCACTCCAAAATATTTTTGGGCCTTAGTGGTTTGGAGGTCCAAGAAGTCTTGTTTCGCTGGTTGTTAGGAGTTTAGGGAAGTTGGGGATTTCAGGTTTAGGTTTACATCGTTGAGCCAGTCGCTACTGGTAATGGACTCAAAGACGTGCCCATGAGGCACTTCTTTCACTTGACCTCCAATGCCTCCCATTTGGTAGCATGAATGAAGTATATTATGAATGATATGTTGTGGGCCAAGGATCCTTCACTGTAATTCCATACTGCCTGGTGTTCACAACAGGACGATGGGAACCTTGTTCCGAACTGAGACGTGGCGCGCACCTTTTGCCCCGCCACGCCATGGAACCTCAGGTGGGAATATTACCTCTCTTGCTGCGCTGCGGCGTTTGAAAAGCGGAGGACCTGGGGGCCAATTGGCCCAAGCCACAAAAAAAGCCCAGAGCTGTTTCAACGCTTTTACCGTGTCAACGGGACGGTACGCAATCAAGTGCTGGACAGGTTGGGGTCCTGTAGCCGTAGACCAAAGCCACTGGTCCTTGCCAGGACCAAAGTTTGGCAAATGGTTTGGACCAAACAGCTCAGTACCAGGCTGGGCGTTTTCAGACAGCGGCGGTGTTGGGACCATGCCGTCAGTTTTCAGAAAGAGTCAGGCGTTCACCGAAACAACAGGACGAAATCAATCGCATTCAAAGCAGACAACCCCGCAACAAAAAACACATCTTTTGACCTGAACAAGGGGAGAAGGCGACGGAGAGTAAGGGGGACACAGAGAGACAGTTAGAAAGAAGCAAACGACAAGGATAATGAAAAAAGACAAGCAGGAGATGAAAGGAGACCAATGAGAAGACGCAGCGACAAGAGACACCAAAAGATGCACAAGATAGTAAAGTTTTGCAAAGCTAAGCAAGAAACGGAGAGAGAGAGAGAGAGAGAGGCAACAAACATGTCATGTTTTCTTTGAAGCTTACACGGTGAATCTTATGTGATCTTATGGTGCTCGTACCAAGTTATGTCAGTCAGTCTTGGTTTCTCATCCTCTAGTTTCGCTGCCGACGGCTTTGAAGGTTGGAGGATTGCAATCACATCCGCCTGGTGGATGGAAAACCACGTTGAACTGAACTCGACTTCCCAACTGCCTGTGCTCAACACCATGGCCACCAACTTGGCTGCGTTGCCAAACGTTGTGGCAATAGAAACGGGTACCAGCTCGCTTGATGCAAGAGCCGTGGCCTGGGGTAGTTCGACAGAAAGAAGCTTAGGGCTTAGGGCCAAAGTGCCCGATCGACCAGCTGCTTTCAGGGCGCGCCACAACCTCGCTGCGGCTGACGACCTCCCAACGATCCCCGCGAGTTGAGCTGTCCCACTCGGACGATGCTTTGAGGAAACCTTGCAGTCAATCACGGCCAAACCAGTATATTATTGTAGAGTCTGTAGAGTGCTCAATTCCTCACATACCAGATTGATCATCCAAGTTGGAGAGCTATACAGTCTTCGGGGGTCGCTAGGAGGGCATGAAAAGGCCTTGTTTCCTGCCAACTTCACATCCCTGACAGCTGAATCAGGATCCTAAATCGAAGTCTAGGGACCCCGCAGTCCACGTCGTTCTGACCTGTGGAAGGATTGACGACCTTGAAGAGACACACACAACCTATATAATATACGGTACTAAGCAAGAATACCTGAAGGATCAAGCAAACAATTCATAATGAAAGGTATGAAGTAGGGGTGTTGGAGGGTCGAAGCTCCAGATGTGTCACCAGGGCGCTAAGCTTAGGTCGTCTTCGTGGTATATGAACTTGCTTAAGCAAGTGTTTGCATGCTGAAGCTTTCTTGCTCCAAAAGCTGCTTTATGTTACTGTACTTTTCTTTATGTGTGTGTGTGCGTGTGTCCTGCAATCAGTACAAGTACTATCGCAGTACGCCAAGCTGAGTAACCTCCTCATTCATCGGCGGTCCGTTATGTTGAGTGGATGTGCGCCTTTGTTTGTAACACGAGCCTGCAGTAGTTGCCTGCGGACAGACCTTCGAGCATGACCGAGAAGATACATGTTTGGCCAGCCGGCCAGCCCATCCGTTGACAGTCCCTACAGTGAACAGTTTGCCCAGAGAAGCCATCATCGGCGCCATGCCAAGTGCTGAGCTCCTTGCCACACTGGCCGTCGCTTGGAAGAGCAACGGGCTTCTGACTCGGACGTGGTGGCCAATGGACTTCTTGAGCAATTTCCTTTGCAAGTTCTTGATCAGTACACGGTACATGTTTGACCTTCCACTTCTGAGATTCTGAACTCTGTCTAAGGGATACAAGATGATCCAAGAGCCCTTGAGCTGGCGTTGTTGTAAGCGATTAAAGGCTATCAAAATGTATAACATGTTGTTTGATGGGATCTTATGCTCTACACATTCACACGGAAATGCTCATCTGGCCTACGACGGTCGACCACTTTGAGGCTTTTTGGTGGTGTTTGGATGGGAAATGACAGCTCATTTCATGTTGGTGGCAAGGTCTTCGCATGAGAATGGTGGAGAGAAGCAACGTTCTTCTGAAGCCATGTCTTGAGATCATGGGAAATTTGGAGACACCTGGAAATTCACTGCACCATTGGGCGTGCCCCCCTTGCTCCGAGGACATGCCGGCCAAGGAGCCCCTTCCTTGGATGCAAGTCGCGGGGTGTTTGTGGGGTGTTTGACGATGCCATGGAAGTGGACGAGGCCAAGGAATCTCTTAAATTTTCACATTAAACATGTTCATTCAACCTCCTGACAAAGAATTTGGACCTCGTAAAGTGAGCTTTCGAAGTGAGTCATTTGAGAAGATTGGACGTGTAAGACGCAGAGTCTAAGTCCACATTCAAGACACGCTGGAGCACTAGCTTGGATGCATGTTCGCAGACCTCACACGTAAGGAACATGCGTTTCTTTTAGTTTTTGGATTGCTTTGGACGGCTGCGAACGGCTTGGGGGCCTTTAAGGTATTTGAAGCATTTCTGCTTGGACTACTACTTGTCCGAAGCACTTCAATGTGATTCCACAGACAAGCTCCAAGACTTTTGGCAGGCAGGGGCTCGCCGATGTTGATTGCAACTTGCATGGTGCCGTAATTCAGTTTCGGATGCCGAATGCGCCAGAGTGATGCCTTTTAAAAGTTGGTTCCTGAGAGGTAAGATGCTCTGTCAACCTTTTGCATTATGCAACTCTCCGGAGAGGAAAAAAACTGTACCGCGGTATGGGTCGGGTGACTCAGACAATTTGTTTATCCATTTGGCTGTTTTGAACCATAGTCGAGCAGCGAGTAAGACACTAATTGAGCCCTTCCAGGATGTCCTGGATGGCAGCCACTTGAAGTCCAAAGCCTATGACTTCAAGCGCGGGTCTCACGGACACCACCGCCCAAGTCCTGTTTGTTGAGGGCATAACTGTTCATTCAGGAACGTTCAGGATGTGCATTGGTTTGATCCCGGTGATTATATACCTCCACAAAATGCTGATTCATAGACTGTTGGCCGAACCTGGAGATGGGGGGCTTTATGAAATCAATATGAGTTGACAGTGACATCAACCGTTCAACCTTGCAGATTCTGGTCGGCTTAAGGAACGTGTTGGGATCCTTCGTCCGACATGTCCACTGAGGAGGGTCATGGCGACCGCAGAGAATCGCCGGAGCTTTGTGGAGCTGTTAAGGAGAGCCGGTGGAGGGGTGCCTCCAAGTAACGGTTTCTGTCTTGGAATGTGTTGATGTTTGGTTTGGATTCATTAAAGGGGATCATAGGAGATCTATGAAAGTATATATAATTGAAGTATATAAGTATCTAAGATTTGGGGCCCAAGTCTTATGAGCCTACTGTGGGTTGGGAATGCGCTATCTGGGTTTTCATAATTATATATGTTTTACACCAACATTTTGGTGCAGACCTGACGCTGTGGGTCCAGTTCGAAGCCAACAGCCCAGGGTCCCACAAGTGCTTGTCTAAGTCTAGGTGTCGTGGTGCTTGCACATCCTCGCAACCTTTTCAGGCCGCAGATGTTTGACCATGTTTGACCATGTTTGACCCACACACCAAGAATCATTGGTGGATGTCATGCGAGTCAGATTCTGGGAGCCTGAAATTCTGCTCAGACCCGGCGAGGTATTATTCCAGACCCAAACGAGGTTGGGTTGGACTCTCGAGCTCAGGACACGTTTGAAGCTGGTCACATCCAAGCCAGAAGTGCTAGCGGTGACCGTGCTGGATTTCTACGATATGCTTGTGACTTGGGCAGATGATTGATGATGACGGATGTGGTCACAGCCCCTTTGCCGACTTGGCATGTACGACACCGGAAGGCCCACGATGTATCCTTGCCAGGACCTAGCAGCACAGAAACAGAAGCACAGAAACAGTAGCACTTGCTAGGGTTTACCTGAGACACTGGGTTGTTCCATGATTTCCGCTATTGAAATTGGTGCACCTCAGGTGGTGCAGGTTCCGGTGCGTTTGGCCCCACACCGGCGCCTGGAGAACTCCGTTGTGAGGTCTTGCTGCTCCCGGACTTCCCTTTGGACCTACTGGTGGATGCAGCCGACCTGGCCATGCCCGTGGTGGACCGGAGGGGCGGTGGGCGCGAGATGGCGCGAGGTCCACTGCACCAGTTTTTGTGGAACGTGTGAAGACGGGAAGGGCACACGGGAAGACCTAAGATGTTCAGCCAGGTATAGAATCTTTTTTGATCCGTTTTGTCTCGCAACTAGCCAGGTTTGCAGACGGGTTTTCTGATGTTAGTTTTCTGAGTGTTGAACGGGGATGTTCCCGGAGTGGATGGCGACAAACCCAGAGATCGCTGGCGGATTGCAACAACACAAGCAGGAGGAGTCCTAGCAGTAGTAGTGGCGGTAGTGGTGGTAGTAGTAGTTGTTGGCGTCGTCGTAGTAGTAGTAGTTGTTGTTGTGGTGATGGTGGTGGTGGTGGTGGTGGTCGACTCACATCCATCCATGCAGGACGCTGCCAAGTTTCGCGTCCTAGGGCAGCAGATGCCATCAGCTGAGCCAACAGGCCCACCAGATTAGGAAAGGTCACGGGTCCCAGCTGTGAATGGCTCAGACCAGCTTAATTTGACCTATTTTCTTCTGAATAATGAATTTTTCTTCATTCCCGCCAGCTCCCACATCACGAACATGCCCACCGTCAATTCTTAAAATTTGTGCCACCTATTGACCTCTCAGCTGCCCCTATGGCCAGTTGGTGCCAGCCTTGCTGCCGCCCTTTATGCTGGTGAGATTCTGCTCCTTGGTTATTTTGTGGGCTGGAAGGTTTGCAAATGGAGCCGCCCACCACTTTATCATTTATCCGCTCCTGGATGAAAACACGACCCTATCAGGCCCTATCAACATCAAGTAGTTACGCTCCATCGCATATGATCAGCCACCAGCTTTTGATTCAATTTGGAGAGTCCTCTCCTGTTATGTAAACCAAACAGTTTGGATAGAACTATCGTGCTTACCCCGCGGAAACTTATTATAATATGGATATATAATATATACTCGAAGGATTCTAAAGGCTGTGAGCTGCTGTGTCATCTCCACACTCATCTCATTTGATTTCGTTTCTTTTTTCCTGCTCTCCGCTCCGCTGGAAGCAGAACCTGATTTGTTTGACTCGATGTTTTGTGCAGATCACTCTTTGCATGTTACAAAAACCCGGGTGTTCACGCTCAGCTTCCGTTCTAGCAAAACGACAGCAGGAATGTTAACACTGGACCTCACTAATGCCAGAAGTTTAAGTCAAAACGGCTTATCCCTTCACAGGTTTTTTTTTTTTTGTGCTTGCTTCCTTAATAAACATTGTGTTTTCACAGGTTAGCCGCACGGTTAGCCGGAGGAGGCCTTCCTATATCCCCCATTTGTTTAAGGAGGTGTATTTTATTGTTGTTTTTTTTGTTGGTTTCTTTTTTGGATTTTTTTTGTTTTTCGTGGCTTCTGGCTTCTGTGGCTTCTGGCTTTTGTGGCTTTTGGCTTCTGTGGCTTCTGGCTTTTGTGGCTTTTGGCTTTCGTGGCTTTCGTGGCTTCTGTGGCTTTTGGCTTTTGTGGCTTTTGGCTTTTTGGCCTATCCATCTATCTGTCTATACCTATCTATTTATCTATCTATCTTTCTTTCTTTCTTTTGGCAGCTGTTCTCCTTTCTCTTTTTGTATTTGCTTTTCCTGTTGTTTTCGTTGCAGAGACGAAACCAAACAAGGAAGCAAGCAAGCAAGCAAGCAAGCAAGCACGAGCTGCTCACCTTTGGATCTGGTGTGCTGCTGGGGGGGGGCGCTGCGCCCCCCCCCCCCAACGCCCCCCGCGCCACGAAATCTGCACTTCATCCCCGACACCCGCGCCTGCCACGAAATCAA